CCTCTTTACTATGCCATAGTTCTGTGGTCTGAATGTGATGTTCACATAAAATTCCTGATCTTCCTGGAACAGAGGCACCCCTAACCTATTGATTTTGACTACCCGTTAAATTAGCTCATTATAGTGTCTCACTGGTTTTTATTCCGATGCAGTAGCAACGAATAGATTCAATTCTTTGATTAATTTCCACTTTTTACTGGCGAAAGAGTGCCTAGATCCGACGCCAGCAGACAAAGTCTAGCATCTCAGTAGTCGTATTTTCGATTCTGTGAACTTCTTGCTATTATCTATTTAGCTCCCGCCCCCTCATTCGTTGTTGCGATGGCGATCGTGTAATTACCCTCAAAATGTAAGCTTTTGCTGGTATTTCCAGACCAGTGCCGCCGTAGATGAGTGTCCACTTGAATTCACTCCCCAGCACCCTTGACTACCACGCGTAGAGGGAGGGCAAAGTCGTAAGGCGTCTCTTGCATCAAACTGACTGACTTCTGGTCATTTTGACAGCTGGTAGCTCACTTCATCCGGAGGGAGGGGGGTAGACGCAACAGCTTACATTCGCCTAATTGATTACCCCACGCCCCCACGCCCCCACGCAGGGCTCTCAACTCGTGCGCATGTGTAAGCCCTGATGTGTGTGGGGGGGGGTCGCCAGGGGTTAATAAGCGGTTGCCACCACGAAACGTGCCATCTCCGTCACATCGAATTCCACGTCAAAACTAAGTCCCCTTGCGATGGGTCCAGTGACCAGATGGGTGGGGAAGGGGGAAGGGGGAGTGCAGTGGACACGATGTCGGGGTTAGCTGGGCACGGGTGACAAGACTCCCTGACCTCTGTCAACGTTGGATATTTAGGCAGGGCGGAGAAAGGTTGAATTGATGGAGTAACATAGCGGGACTATTACTTCGATAGAATTCAAGCTGCAGGACTCAAATAAAGCTTGCTGTGAGCTGGGGTTCTCCGGAACTGTACCGTGTGCAGTGACTTCCACCCAGGTAACCGTCCTAACGGACGGATTAGGCTAGTTAGCGGGTAAGCAGTATACTCGCCTCACTATCGTTAATTTCATGCTACACCTGGCTACTGATATAGCCAGGCTGTATGTAAGACACAGTCATCCCAGTTGCCCTTAAAGCCGTGTAGACGCTTTACTCAAAAAGACAAAAGGATTATCCTGATC